GAGGCTCTAGGTTCCGCGATGATACGTTGAAGTCAGCTTTGAGGAGGAAGCCTCCGTCAGTACGTACGAATTGCTAAGAGTATTGAGAGGTGACAAGCGCACGCCAAGAAATAACGACGTCAAACACACTCGAAACCAGAACACAAGTTGACCGCCGTAGCGTTGTTAATGTGTATTTTCGTTTAGTCAAACAAATGTACAGGCAGGTCAGGTGTACAAGAAAATGTAGTGAAACAAATCAAAAGTGTACAAAAGCCTGCAAGCCTTCCAAATGTTCAGGCTATTGTGCCATTTCTCTGTCGCTGGTTGCTGCTCTACTAGATGCTATTTGCTGTACTTTTTTCTTTATTCCGGCTATCTAATAAGATAATTATCACCAATTTCGAAAGCATGCAGCCGCTGAGGAAGAAGCGAAATGTCCACAATATTCTGGATTTCTAGACTTCCGCATCTATCTAACGCCATGTCCATGGTCTTACACTACCTTGCAAACACTTTAAAAACTTCTTTGAGATTTTATCGGTAGTTGGCCTGGCATTTCATTTATATCAAATATCTTCGTAAGCCTGAAGTCTTGATTTCGACTGAGATGGTTCAATGTTTGTGACTTCGAGTACTCTTGTGGGCTTGGTCGCTCAATGAAGCACGTATAATTATTTGTATTGACTTAAACACGGTGGAAATTCAAACTGAGTTTACAAGGTAAACAAAGCGCCAAAAAATACTCAGGATAAAATGAAAGATTACCAATTTTCTCTCGTTTAAACACGAGTTCGTCCAATTAACAAGCACCTTCTATACGATAAAATTGTTCAGTACTCCACCATTTTCTCGCAGGACGTCATTTATATATTTTACGCTTTTTATTATCATTAAAATAATTAATACAAATAAATACGGAAGTGCTACTTTTGTAACAGCAACAAAAACACTGTTATAATGAACGTCGAGTTAATGTGGTGTTTTTGTCCCTTTAGTCATCTGTGTAATACAGTATATTAAGAACACATGATTTATAATTCGCGGATACCCTATTAATTATATTCAAATATTATGTCATGCTTTTCATATAATTCGTCGGCACGCCGAAGTTACGCGTTTTTTGTGATATATGAGGCTTATCTCGTTTGGTCACCATCTTTCTGAAATTTCATTTTTACTCGAGTGGATTAATCCACTAATGGTCGACTTCATGCCAGGTCCAGGCCTCGTCCATTCGCCTAAGCCCCACCTATCGCCTTCTGACCCTCATAAAAAGGAGGCCATGTGTTGAAAAATTTTTCGCATCTAAAATATTAAAATGTATTTTTTTTACCCTTAATGACAGTAGGTTGCCAAATTCTGTGGCGTTTTGCAATCACTATTGTGACAATTTTAACATTGTTATAATTATGACTTGAGCATTTGTCATGGGACCCTAGTTTCGGCGTAAATTGAGTGAATTCTGCTAATGCGAGTTTTCGACCTAGATGAGTTCGCTGTTTGAGTGTTGTTTGCATAGTTTCAAAAAGAAGCCTCAGTTGAAGCTCGTAGGGGGAAGTTATTCAGCAACTAATAATGTAACCTACGAACTACTTAAAGTATCATTCGCATAGTTCCGAAGAAACTCAGTTTGCATTTGCTCCGAATATATTCTGAGCATATGTAAAAATATGCTCTTAAATTCTCCTAATAAAATTAGAGGATTTGACGCAATTTGACATCGAACTTCAGCAGGATTTCTGTTGACTGCCGTTAACCTTCTACTTTATTTGTCTTGGAATTTTAAAGTTAGCTTCTTTACGACTACTTAAAGGTATTGAAAATGTAGAAGAAGTTAAAAATCCGGCAATATTAGGACAGCATATCTACCGTGAATTAGATTACATGAAGTGGGACAGTCAGAACAGTACAAACACTTTACTTCTGTCAGTGGGCTTCCTAGTGATTGCAATCCAATGTCCTTTTGATAACAATGCTCTGTTTGGTCATTGTATTACACTCATGAATAATCGGAGAGAACTCACGAACAGTTACGGGCTTGACTGTAATAAGATCGATTATCTTACATTTTGTCTCTGACCACTGTATGAATAGTAAAGGTTCTTTTATTCCTGACGAGAATTGAGAAAAGCGTTCTCGCAGCAATTCTTATAATTTGATCTGAGAGAGCAAAACGCACTATCAATTTCTGCTAATGTTAGCAGCCATCTGTTTTCCGGGACAAACACAAAGCAGCATCGGATCGGATATCTAAATTTAACAAAACGCTGTAAATGCTCGAGTTCGTTTATCACAAAGTTTTGTTGGTTCATAATTTTGGACAGTTGTACTTGGATTGACTTTTACCATAATCACGGCTTATGCCTCTGCTTTTGTACATTCGAATTCACTTCTGAATTAACCAATTTATCGAACCGTTTACGGCTTTCGAAACATTGGGGGCCGAGACATGCTCATCTTTAACAACTTTAGACAGCAGTTCGGCGGCTAAAATGTACAAGGTTGGTCTGGCTGTTCTTCGTAATGCCTTTTCAGGAAATACTGCCGTATCAGCGAAGCTACAGACAAAAACTGTGAAAATCGAGAGCTCCGGTGAATTCTAAAAAAACGCAATGAAAATTAGGCATCAAGAAAGCCAAAGATCATTTTAGAAGAAACTCTCATTCCTAAATATAAAGGTCTCCATTTTACTGGTTTGCAAGATCGTCAGTTTTCAGTGATTTGACGTACTTGGTTCGACAACGGTGTGCAGTCTTTTCTTTTTAAAAAAATTGGCAAAGGTGTGCATTAGAGAGAAAACATTTTTGCGGCAGATTCCCTGCATAATAGTCGTCATCTGACAAAGAGTTAAAGAATTACATAGATTGACTGAAAAAGTAAAAGTCATGCAGTGAACCGTTTTTGAGAAAAATGTCTAAATAGCGTCTTATTTCATATGGTCTCCACTTCATAATAAACGTCCATTTTTGGAGAGATGAAGCTTATGGAAGTCTCTATCAGCAGAAAACTCCATAGGTGGATATTAGCTGATAGTTTAACTCAGAAAGGAGATGCTGCTACTAATATTTTCGGTTGATGAATATAGTTTCCATTTCGCGCATGTAAATAGGCCTCCCTTCCTGAACTCTCCGATTTATTTTCGGAAATGTTTAACAAACTATTGAAAAGAAAGGGAGCCAAGAGACATTACCGGATCTAGTGCAATGGGAAGGGTGCCGTTTTCATAAAAGGTAGCTTAACTAAGGCTCAGTTTCTAGGTATAACGTGACGACGTTCACTTGGCACTGAATAAAAATACAGTGATGTTGAGTTATCCCTGAGTAATTTAGTTAAATTTTCATTATGATTTAAAAGCACGAGGACCGCTACGCAGAAAGCGGACAGTTGTTTCAGGGTTTGTAACAATATTAGCACTTTCAATATTTGCTAATAAAGCCCTATCTAAAATATCAACTCATTTTTCTCGTCCTTGAAAGGAAACCCGCGCCCGAGACCGATCCGTAGTGCATTACTAGATGCGTTTTCATTTAGCCGAAGCCTCGTACCATTATCTGTGTTTTTGTTTATAGATCAAAAGAAATTGGGTAGTACAGTATAAATATAAACAGTGACGCAAATTTCGTATGGTGCAAGAACACACCTTCATGAGGTATTTTTTACGCAGTTTCAAATATATATAGTCTCTTAATCGCACCGAGGGCCCTTGCAGCTACATTTACCGCATGTATCTAGTCTGATATTGAGCAGTACAAGCAACTAAGTGACTGCTCAAAAAATCACTGATCAGTAGAAACAATCATCACGTTTAGGTCGGTATTACATCATTTTCCGGCTGCCTGCTCATCGAAGTCATACAAAGCCGAATATTTTTTCCCAAAATCATTTCCTTATGAAGTCATGCTCACATTCTTGCCAGTGATTCTGAGAAATAACAGGAGACACCTGTTATTTCTAGAGATTTTGCAACTTTTGATCATTAAGCTTCTTTAGTCCTCCAAAACTATGGTCTTAAAAGAATGACGTGCAACGATGCTAATGTATCATGTAAGTAAATACTGCAGAAGAAATTATAATTTGTTCTCTATTAAACAAAAACACTGCCACTCTTGCGGATGCATTCAATATGCATACTTTGAGAGGATTGTTCTCCTCACCCCCCCCTTCCCCCACCTCTTCGCCCTCAAAGTCTGAATTTCTAATTAAAATACCTGCTGACTCACCTATGTCAAAGTAGAACAATGGTTTTTCATCTTTACTGCGCTTTACCTCGACAGAAAACGTCTGGCTCGCCCTCGAAGTCTATAGGAAGATATAAAAGTTATAAATCTTGTCACCAAGCTCGGGATTCTGCAAAACGGGCCCTGCTTAGTATATTTTTTACTGTTAGCTGTCAGTAGAGACCAGTAAGTTAACGTTACAGGAATTCGAGCCCTCAGTACGAATGGCGCTCCACTTAATCGCGTAAATGCTGTTTTCTCAGTCCTCTCTACCCCTCATAACGTTTTCGACGGTCTATTGTTACTCTGTATGCCTTACCTGTTTACGCCTCCTCCTCCACTCTATTCCGACTTCAAGACCGAATACAGATGAGTCTGTTCTTCCCTAGGCATCCCGTTAAGTTCCCGCACATATGGTTCCAGAGAGCCAAACAATTACTAATCGGGAGGTACTACCGGTAAATCAGAGGGACTGGAAGGGCCGTTGCCACCGTCAGAATCGTGGGGTCACAAGAAGTGAGCGCCAATACTGTGTGGTATATCATTCCTTATCGCAGTCGCTCGAGCAGAGGGCCAATCCGTCAGCAGTAGAGCGCTTGACTTTTTGTTTAATGATCGCAGAGTCCTCGCACACACCTTGGCTCCTGCCGTTGTGGGCTTGGAGTGAGGCTGTCTGATGATATCGAACAAGTCAGAACCAGCGATTCCACCCTCTCTGCTGTTATTTAATATAGGATGGAAGGTCTATTCTTGTTAACGTGCACTGTTCAAAGACAATGCCTCTCTCTTTCCCTTTAAGTCATGACGGACCCCGCGAAGGAGAAAGATCCCGAGGGGAAAGAAAACTTACCAGATTCGGATGAACAAAGCGAGAAACTGAGCGTGCGAACCCTGAGTGAAAGCAAACTGGACAGTGGCACTCTGTGGCCCAACAAACATGCACAGGAGGACGGCCTACAGGAGGGCACACTTTCTTCCCTCAGCTATAACCAATCAATCGACTTGAGCAGCCATCCACTGGAGAGCCCACCACCCATGGTGTACTTAAAAGGAACCGAATCCTTGAAAGAACTCAACAATTTAAGCCAGTACTGTGACGCCAGGGGGGATCAACCCAGCACCCTGAAGAAGTTACTTTCAGAGGCTCGTGAGAAACCAGAATATGACTCGACAGGTACGCTGAAGAACCAACATGACGAGGGGAATCACGGTCAACCCAGTGTTTTGACCTCCAAACTACGAGACAGCCAATCCCGTGAGGAGCCAGGCGACTTAAACTCAGCCCCCAAGGAGACAATGGAGAACAACAGCCGACTGATTGAACTTGCCAAATGTAATTTTGTGTCTTTTCCTGTGAAGTGACCCCCCCCCTCCCTCCTTCTAGCGTATCAACACCGCAGCAGCGAGGAGCATGAAAAAATTATGCGGTCAGCTCTGCAGCAGATCAACAGCCTTTTCCAGAATAACTCCTTCTGCTCCCTGGACTCCGTCCTCACGGAGGCCGCAGCCGAGGTCCAGTCTCGCCTAAAGGTTGGTTTCCAAAATTCGATCAAAAGAAGGCGAAGCTTGCTTGTATAGAAGTCGTTCCCACGACGTTGTGGAAACGCAGGACTAATACACTTTTCCAGAGAAACTAGGCAAGGGCAGTTCAGCAGTCGGTCAACCTGCTTCCTTACAACGTTGCTTAGTAACACGTGTAGTTTAGCATTTACCTCTGACCGATACGCTTCTGAGAGGCGGAAACTATCTTTGCTGTGAACAGACTAAATTTGGAATGTGAAAAGCTTCATAAGTTCCGATTATTTCTCGTAGTGCCGGCATGATGCCACTTAACAGAGAGCATGGCAAGTCAATTCATATTTGCATACTACTGACTACTTGACGACTGAATGTGAATATTACGTACTTGTTCCTCTGTAGTTGATGAAAAACTTATGTCAACTTTCAGATCGAGCCCAAGTTGACGTGACTTGCAGACTTTCCTTCAAGTTATCGTAATAGATCCTAAGAAAATAAGAAAGCTTAGCTTCGCAATACTTTGCCCGAAAAACCTAAGGAAGGTCACACAGTAAATACTGGCCGTTGAAAAGGTACTAAACGCCTTTACGAAGACCTTTTCACCTAGAAAGGAACGCTGCCTTTTGTGCATGATCCGTACGTTTGCCGAATAGCAAGGCGAACAGTCTGGAAACTTTATGCGGAAAAATTTATTTTATCCACAAAGAACTTCACTCCCTTTTAGATAAATATTTTGGCCTGCTTGTCTTTCATTATATAAAGGGCGATCTCATTGGGTAGGGTTATATTGTCCTGGCGTTTAGACATCGGATAAACTTCCATCCTCAGAGCTGAATGTCACAGTACTTTCATCGGTTGCTTCGTTCCAGATAATTTGACCTGTCTCCAATTCATATATATATAGACAGAATGGTATTACCGGCAAAGACAAGGGAGACTGGAATGGCCACTTCTGGCTTATTAGCCGTCGTCAGCCAGTTATGCTCAATCCCGAAGTGTGGAACACCCGAGACTCGAACTCGCGACCTGTTAGTTAGAAGTCCACGCCTCTAACAACTAGGCCAGGAACCCGTTGCCCTGTCGGTTTCGATCGGGAATATACAATCGTAGGGTGGCGCTCACCGATCATTCTTGCGGAACTCACTCGTTCCGTTGTGCCCTACGGGCTCTCTCTAGATCGCAACCAGCAACCACACAGCTGCACCTGATATAGGCAGAATTGTATTACCGACAAAGACAAGGAAGACTGGAATGGCCATTTCTGGCCTATTGGCTGTCGTCAGCCAGTCATATCCAACTCCGGCAATACCATTCTGCCTATATCATGCGTCCCAGATGTTCCACACCTCGGGGTTGGGCATGACTGGCTGACGACGGCTAATAAGCCAGGATTGGCCATCCCAGTCTCTTTTGTCTTTGTCGGTAATAACATTGCCTATATCATGGGCCGCTGTGCGGCTGCTGTTTGGGCTCGAGAGAGAGCCCGTAATGCAAAACGGAACGAGTTTCTTAAGAACGATCAGAGAGCGTCCCCTACCGTTATATTTGTACATATATATGGGTCCTTAGAAATTTATGCATACTGTTATTCAAAGTTTTAGTGATACGTCTATGCCAATTCACGTTTTTAGCGAACCCTGAGAAACGAGTTCTCGGGTGTCTTGTGTTATAATCCTTGAAATTCAACCATTCACTGATCTGGCCTTATTTTGAGCTAGAACTGAGATGGGATTTAGAAGAATAAAGTGAGCTCGAAAGAACATATGGATTTTATCGAAATCTCCTTTTAAAGGGAGTGATAGTGACAACATTTATAGGCCAAATATAATGCTTTTCTTTGTTTAAGGCCTCAACGTTGACAGTCCACGGAAATGATGTTTTATCTCTGACTTCAGAATGAATATCAACGGCTGCGCGGAGAGATGCAGGGATCAATCTCGCGCATAGTGGCGTTCGAACTGCAAAAGTATGCTCTTGTATATTGTTTTCTCTGATTACCCATCTAGAGCCAGTTGTTCCCTGGAAACGATGATTTATCAACTGGAAAGCATGCGGGATCTGGCTCGAGATTATGAGAAAAAGTTGGCAAAGAAGGACAGGACCATCAGTGAGTTGTCCTCGGAGATATCCGAAGTTAAACTGACTTTCGGCCAGCAGCGCGATATCGACAACAAGGCGCGCAAGGTACTGCCAGGCAACTACTCTTTTATTTTCTACAAATGACATATGATTTTTCTGTAAGACCACTTCACCGGTCCTACTGTTAAACATTTTGACAGATCTCAGTCCGATGCACGTTTACTTAATCTTTTTTGACCCGAAATGTACTAAAATGCAGTCGTCCTAAATATTTTTGTTAAGTCGCGGTACAGTTTGAAGTTTTAAGGGATAACTTGGCTTTGGAGCAATTAAACTGCGCTTTAGTGGAAGGTAACTTTCGAGGTACCTTCAAGGGGGAATGTATTTCATGGTAGGAGGGCGCTCACCAATCGTGTCATGGAACTCACTCGTCCTGTTGTGCCTTAGGGCACTCTCTCGAGCCCAACCAGAAGCCACACAACAGCGCGTAATATGGACAGACTGTTATTATCGACAAAGAAAAGGGAGACTGGGATGGCCATTTCTGACTTAGTATTTGTAATCAGACGGTCATAACCAATTCCGAGGTGTGGACATCTGGAGCTCGATCCCGAAATCTGTTGATTAGAAGTCCAACGCTTCTAACTCCGCTGTATCTTACGATGCCCCTTCCTCATCTACGCCGTCGTCCAGACATCACTGCTGCCTGTCAGGAATGGCGTTTCTCGTGCGAATCGTTTTGCTTCGTTAGATGATTTTCCAGTTGTCTTATTTGCCTCCCAATGGCTTGAAAATATAAAATAATACGTCCCACCATCAGCCGATACTGCTGGAGTTCAAATAATGAGAGTGTTCCCATTAAGTTCCTCTTTGTGGAAAGATGACTATTTCTCCTGATAAGTCGACTTGGCATATCCAGCCAATTAAAAATCGCCACGGGGAAGGGTTGGCTGCTTGTCATCGAAGAATGCACATTAAGCTGATAACGATTATCCGTGGCAGGTACTCAGTTCCCACGGCCTGTTAGTCACTAAATGTGCAACCACCGATTTTGCATTTAACTATTCCCTAGTCGCCTGCCTCTGGTTGTTTGTCTAATGTATGTTAATCTCCGGGCAAAGAAGTTTCTCTCATTTCAGGGTTGCATCCGCGCTTTTTGGTTGATTCCGAACCGTTTTTCTATCAGCCTCCTGTTAAAGTTATTGTTGAATCTAAATTTTCATGTGGATTCTTAATTTTTGTTCTGCTGTGCAAATGACTTATAGCTAATTCTCCGGTCTTTGATAGTAATGTTAACACTGTTCGCACATTGATCCACATGACGAACATTTTCATCAGAATGGTTTGATACCAGGGAGACTGGCGGTCATCTGAAGGAGTAGAGAGTGGGATGGATATTGCGCTAGTCTACTATCACTATAAACTAAATCCCTCGCAAGTCACCGTCCCTACTCGCACCCTGATATGAAGCAGACTATGAATATCGTCAAAAATGAAAGTCAAAATGTTGATGGCGTATCTCATGAAATACTGACCGACAGACTTAAATAGCTTAACGCTGATGCACTGGCAGATCAGGCTGAAAAAAAGTGGGGAATCGGTAAACTTTTTTAAAACCTAAATATGAACTTTCTTTGGGCATAAAATATGAAGACAATATGATTTCTTACCAAATGAGCAAAATAATGCATATTTATGTGAAAGTTCTCTATAAAATATATTTGAACTTATAAGACCATCGAAAATCAATAGGAAAAATACATGTTACCTAAGTAGTCTTCTTTACCGAGTGTGGTTTCTGCAGGAATTCAAAAAAGGAGTGCATTCGACAGTCGACATACGGACGAGTCTGAAATGTTATAGGGTTATGCTGCATGATAATCCGTATAACAACCCCACTTAAGTAATCCTTCCTAATCGGAAAAGCATTCCGGAATTCTGGCCAAAATTTCATCAGAGTGGTCACGCACTGTAATATGCTTGAAATTATCGTCTTGAGGGGCAGCGTGACCCTACCTTTGATTGATTTGGATGCCTGGGCTGACAAAGCATTTTATCTCACATAAAAATTAAGATAATCATCACTCTTATCAAGATAGACACATTGTGTTTCATATGCTCTCACTATATTCAGCGACTGCCTTTTTTGTAGAAATTTTGTACGCAAATGGCACTTAACCACGCTAAACGACGACTCGTGCTGCGAGCCTGGACTTGCTGGAAGAGGGCCATTGAGGCTTCGTGGAAGGATCGGGTGTATCGGCGTCTGGTGGATCAAGCTAATGAAGTCTGCGTTAATCTGAGACGAGAACATGCGCGCATTGTTGCTGAGGTGGGTCGGAAAAAATGTGTTTGTTTACAGCACGGCCTAAGCGACCGCCGTCGCAGGGATATGCCCTGCATAGATAATGAGATTTTCGGCACATTACTGACGTTTCTTTTAGGATATCACTTGCTCATTGCAGCTTTATAAATTATCTAACAACTAAATTATATGAACTTACGGTAAGGTGACTAAAACTAGACGTACTTCGGTTAACGTGGCAATTTGTGGGGGCGTCCTAAATTTTAAAATAAACACGGGTGTTGAGCCTATCTAATGCCTGAAAATCCTCCTGTTAATCCTCTATGGGTTTCCGTCCGTTGCTAGTGTTGGCAGCTTTTCCAAAATATTTTTTGCGCACTTCGCTACTAACAGCTGAAGGTAAAAATGTCCACCCAGGATGCTACTGTGCAATTTAAGATCTTCATGATATTTTAGATCAGTAGTTCACGGTCCTGATAGGATTTACTTAGCATTGCTGGCAAATCAAATTCTCAATTTGCAGCTTGATTTTAATAACCAACGCATTTTCCGTCCGGTTTTATTGATACCGGAAGTGGACGCTTTAAGACTCAAAAATGAGCTTTTTATCTAAACAGCCTTCGGGTTTATTTGACTTGCCTTGAGGCCGATTGGTTGTCCGACGATGACTCACGTCCCGTAAGCATTATTTTTCAAATGAATCCCACTTGCTTGGAGACAAACAACTGGGAACGGAACGCCTAACTGCCTTCCTGGGCAAATGAATTTTTAAAAAATTAGAGAATACCTAAACCCTTCGGGTAAGTGCGTAATCATGCAGAAAACGTGGGACTCCGTAGCACCGAAATGCAAATTAGAACATCCTGTTCGATTATTATCCAGTTATTTTAATTTTTTATTTACGATGGATGATACTAAAGGGAATGTAATTCTGTTCAAACAAATAAAATGTTTCAGAAGACAAGCTGGCGGGCATAAAGGTGCTTTCGATAAATTCTTGTGGAGCTATTTCATTAATATGAAAACTAAGCCCCCCACATGCCCCAGCCACAGAATAACTTCTGCTTCCCCGCATTTGCCTTTTAATCATCTCGATAGCAATATAAATGTATAGACCTGCTGAGAATTTATCGAAAGCTTACTTATGCTCGTTCTTTTGAATATGAGAACAGTGTAAAAGTTGAAGCATTTGAGCGATAAGAGGCATCGACTAAGGTTCCTATTTTCCTGAGAGTGCAGGAAGGAATAGGAGATAGACGAAGGGGAGTGTTAAGTAGAGTCGCGCTAGGAAAAGTGCATGCAACTAACCGGCTTTTGGCCATGGCAAGCATGAAGCTTGCAATAGGTTATTCTGTGCGCACTGGACCGGCTTTCGTAGCCCGATGACAGCTGCCTCTGTTGTTGCTAGTAAACGCTGACCCAGTGACTTATGGTAGTTCAATGGGACCTCATAACTCACATGGAGGGCTACGTTGGGACCCACACAATTCCTGGAATCAACAATGTGTCCGAAAATGCGTTATTTATACGCTTAATTTCGTTTTTGGACCAAATTTTTCAGTATCCCCCTAAACAGGCGACAGCTGGTGCAAGCCATATGACCTGCTTCACAGAAACATGTAAGGTGCCAAATGCAAATGGAGATGGTCTAAGTTGTCAACTTATCCCCACCTGCTCCGTGTTAAACAGGGTTAGTCGAGAATAATGCCCGAAATTTTGCTGCTGGTCAATGCGTCTCAAGGTAGAGTGGCGTTCACTGATAGTTTCTACGGAATTTACTCGTCCCGTTGTGCTTTACGGGCTCTCTCTATCTCTCGAGCCCAACCAGCAGCCGCACAGCAGCGCAGGGTATAGGCAGAATGGTATTGCCGACAAACTAGTCTCCCTTGACTTTGTCGGTAATAACATTACAGTGTCATGTTGAAAAAGAACATAGTTTTCTTCTTAATGGGTTTTGCCCGTCTATCTATAATATCCTCTGCAATAGATCTGTCAAGGTAGCCGTTCTCGCGAAGTCGGTCCAAGGTATTTCAAGGCTATCTGACGATGCTATCGATCAAACAGATGTTTCTGGCCATTTGCGCCAAACAATAGACTAAATTGCATTTTCGTTGAAGGGGTACGAAACTTGTGAAGTTCGATTATGTTCCAGACCAAGTTTTCTTTCAATAGACGCTTCTTTGAACGCTACCATTAACTTGGAATACTGTCAGTGCTGCACGATGTTAAGTTATACAACCCTTCTTACTTCATCTTTTCGAAACGAAAACGCATTTAGCAATTCCGGTTGACATTTCATGAATTAGCCAACCTACTCTAATCCTTGCCTAGGTCTGTTTTAAAACACGAAGTGTTATAGAGTCCACATGTAGGATCCTATGCGGAAGACGGTACACTGGCCGGAAGCCAGAGCCAGGTTTTGGCTTTACTGTCCATCAGTGCGCAGAAGCAGCTTTGTTTGCGATAGTTTTTGTCTGAAGCATTTTTTCCCGGGTATGAATTGAAAACAAGCATGTACAGCAGAATTTATTGGGACCAATAAATTTCGTGACGGCTTTTCAACTGCAGCCCGTCTCTGCATAGCATAGGTAACGAATGAAAGCGCACAGCAGTATGAATTTGTACAGAATGGCAGTGCATAAGAGCAAGGTCAAAGTTCAAAACAATCAATAATCAGATAAGACGTCCACGTAAGCATCAAAAAGGAAAAAGGGAGACGAAATGTTAACAACAAATCACAGTCAGGGGAAAATAGAGGCGTGAGATTACCAGGGCAATTGCAGATTGATCATGTGATCTAACTGCTTGCACAGGTCTGGTTTCTCCCTCCGTATGTAGGCTGCTTCCAAATAACGCAAGGTTCGAGTTGTACGTGCTCGGACAAGTAATCGAAAGGACGCTTTAGGATCGACAACATGACCGCTATCTAACAGGTGTTTCGTTATAGACGAACGGGGGGTTCTATTTTCCTGTTTGAAAAGCCAATTAGGCAAATGCTCAGCGGCCCTGGTTGCCAATTGCCTTTGCGTACGCCCAATGTACTTACATCCGCAAGTGCATGTGAATTCATACACACAATTGGGGGTGGCGTGCATTGGCAAGGCATCCTTTGCCCGGTTAGTTGGAAGGCTTTTTGTGGAACTGATGAAGATAAGCTCTGGTGCGTTGTACGTTCTTTCTATAGTGCAACGCAAGCGTCGCTTGATTGTGTTTGAGACGTTGTCACCCTTAAAAGGTAGACATACTATAACCGAGTCTTCGGAACGGACTGTTCCGTCAACTTTGGCCGTAAATGGTTGCTGTACTTCTCAATGAAGCGTGCAGGATAACCACGATTACGTAAGACTTCTTTGATACGGGCAGTTTCTGTGTCTATGGTCTCCCTGGAGCAAATATTTCTCGCTCTTTGAAAAAGAGTATGTACTAGATTACGTTTCCATTGTATTGGCGCAAAGCTTTTAAAATGTAAGTATTGCCCTTTCCACGTAATCTTGTGGAAGACGGAGCGTCTTATTGAACCATCATCCTCTCTAAACATGAGGACGTCCAGGAAGGGTAACTTGTTAAACTGCTCCATTTCCATCGTAAATTTGATTTTAGGATGCAGATTATTCATCAGGCAAAGTAGGTCGGAGGCGTCTTCCCTGTTATCAACAATCGTGAATATATCGTCCACGTATCTCCTGTATAATGTTGTCATGTTTAATTCTGAGGATCACGTGATCAATCTGCAACTGCCCTGGTAATCTCACGCCTCTATTTTTCCCCTGACTGTGAATTGTTGTTAACATTTCGTCTCCCTTTTTCCTTTTTGATGCTTATGTGGACGTGTTATCTGATTATTGATTGTTTTGAACTTTTACCTTGCTCTTATGCACTGCCATTCTGTACAAATTCATACTGCTGTGCGCTTTCATTCGTTACCTATGTTATGCAGAGACGGGCTGCAGTTGAAAAGCCGTCACGAAATTTATTGGCCCCAGTAAATTCTGCTGTACATGCTTGTTTTCAACAGTTCTTGTCAACGCCAGCGGCAATCCTTCCACTAGTCCAAGTTAACTAACACGGCTTTATCTGATCTATCAGCTGGAGGAGAGACTGCGACTCAGCGAAGCCAAGCTGATCGAAGCAGACCGTCAACAGCACGAGTCACACATGGCCATGAAGTCGGCCCTCATGCGCGGCGTCTGCGCCCTCAACAAGGAAACCAACGAACTCATTTTCAGCTGCATGCAAAATTCTGTACTCTATCAAAATGACTACCTAAGTAGCATGAATTATTCTCATTGATTTTCGATGTTCTTAAAGATTCAATTATATTTCATGGGAAACAGATATAAAAATATTCATTCTTTTACTCATTCGGTGTACACTTACGTCTTCTTTCAATTTTGTACTCGAAGGAAGGGTATGGTCCAGTTTCCAAAAACTTTTGTAATTCCCGAATAATTTTTAACTCGGCCTGCTGTTATACTCGCATTCAGGGTTCCCAAACAACAAACCGCATACTTTCCACGTACGAAAAACCATACATTTCTCTATGGTATTAGAAGGTGACTATATAGGGTTCATAAAAGTTAGCAGTGGATTTGAGGTATACTGTTAACTTTAAAAGTCACCTTGGTAAGTGCAGAGACATGACATTTTATGAAGGGCCATTTCACGGCATTAAAAAATCCCACAGTAATAAACTTTTTTAAACCAAATTATATCGCTCCTTTAAGTATAAAATTGGAAGAAGACATGATTTTCTACCGTCGAGTAAAAGAACGAATATTACTATGCATGCTTTGCATTGATATATCATCGAATTTACAAGGGCCTTGAAAATCAATGAGAAAAGTGCATGCTACTTAAGCGGTCATTTTTTACAGAGTAAAGTTTTTGCATACAGCCGAAAAGAATTTCGTTCGACATTCGCATCCTGAGGTAACTGAGTTATAGAATTACGCGGCACGATGATTAGTTTTACAACTCTACTTAATTCATCTTTTCGAAACGAAAACGCATTTCGTAATTTCGATTGACCTTTCATGAGTTAGTCAAACTACTGTAATCCTTGCCTAAGTCTGTTTTAAAGTTTACCTGTAGGATCCCATGCGGAAGACGGTACATTGGCCGGAAGCCAGAGCCAGTTTTTGGCTTTACTGTCCATCAGTGCGCAGAAGCAGCTTTGTTTGCGATAGTTCTTTTTAACGCCAGCAGCAATCCTTCCACTAGTCCAAATTAACTAACCCGCCCTTAATCTGCCCTGCCAGCTGGAGGAGAGACTGCGACTCAGCGAAGCTAAGCTGATCGAAGCAGACCGTCAACAGCACGAGTCACACATGGCCATGAAGTCGGCCCTAATGCGCGGCGTCTGCGCCCTCAACATGGAGACCATGTCTGTCCTCCAGCCGGACACTGAGAACCTGCCTGTCGGCTATCCGGAGACGGCGGCGGCAGCGACAGCGGCCGCGGTGACGACGACGGCGACGGCGACGCCGACACTGCTGCGCAGCCTCGATGTCAGTCAGGAGGAACTTCTGCGTCCTCAACCGCGTCCAGTCAAGGACAACGGACACAATGAGATTGCGCTGGGGTTGCCCAGGACAACGAACTGCTTCGCCAGCACCGGTAGGTTCTTTTAAGTTGCCGCACAATTCTCCCTCAGATAAACCGGGGACTTCGACCAATCTTATTGGGTTGTCGCATAAGTTTGTGCGCTTTTCAGTTATTAAACAATTTCATCATGTTCGATTTATTTGTATTATATGTCCTTTTGTTCATCCAGCCAAGCGTTAGTAGAATGTGTGGCAACGGTATAGAGAGCGACCCCATTAAACTGTCAGTAGACTGTGGATCGTGCCATACGTGATTTATGGTAAAGGGAGTTTTATGGGCGGGGCATTTCGCTAGACAGTAAGCTGACAAAATGAAAGAAAACACAATTGCCTCGATCTATGCCGAAAGTCTTATTCTGCGCTATTGTACGACGACGAAAATGAGAGTAATAATTAAACAATAAACAAAAATAAATTTCACAAAATAACGGATTTTGAGTTATGGTGTATGAGATCGTGGGAAGTTATTGTTGCTGGCAATGTAATTTCGCAATAGCCCTCAAATGCCTGCCAAGAAAAAACCCCATATGACACGATCCGCAGTCTACTGACAGTTAAGTGTGGTCCTTCTCCATACCGTTGCCGAATTTGCTTATAGTTTTTAATTTTAATTAACCTACGGTTATCTGAAGCTTCAGGTCGACAAAAATGAACATTTCAGATATCATTTAGTTTAATTCAGTAGAAAAGTGAAAGCATTAGAGGCCCTCAGAAACGTCAGTGCTGTTTGCGGTGGAGGTTCTACTGTTAAAAGAACACCTCAGAATTGGTTTTCCAGTTTCACAGAAGATGCGTTTGGTACGACAGACGTATCGCCATCTGCAAGGAAGTCGCTGTTCGATGGGGATGGCCTTAATGCGCATATCCACGCAGATACGTCAGACAATTAAAGAGACTACTAGAAAGTCTGGATGCGAAATATCAATAATCTCTCTCTCTCTCTCTCGGTATCTTTTAGTGACAAAAACAAGCCTCAGCGCGCAAATATTTGCGTCTCATTATTAGCCACACATCGCCTAGTCCGTGAATTATGTGAAATGTGTGAAACATATTTTTACTGAAGATGAAAATTTGGGCTTGCATATGAATAGAAAATAAAAGAAAGAGTGGTCAAGCTCCTACAAGCCAGTAAACCCTCAAACCAAACCTCCACAGCAGACGATTTTGGTACGACGGACGCATTGCAATCTGGACGGAAAGCAGTATTCGATGGGGATCTCCCTAATGCGTTAATCCATGCAGATCTGTCAAACTATCAGGGACGACTGCATGCGAAAAATCAATAATCTCTCTCTCTATCGATATCGCTGAAAGTGGAAAACAAGCTTCAGCGCGCAAATGTTTGCGTCCCATTATTAGCCCCAAAACACACAAATCGTCCAAATGCTATCATTTTGCAGCATGACAAGGCCAGGTCTCACGCCGCAAAATTTCCTTTAATGCCGCTAGAGAGCTTGGCTGGGAGGTTTTTTCACGTCCGCCATATTTTATTGAGTTTGCTCCGTCGGATTACCATCTTTTTCGGCCACTCAAGGACAATTTGACCGTAGTATCCTTCAGTAACGATATGAATCTTAAAAATTGGATAAACGACTTCTTTGCGTCAAACTCCGCAAATTCCTGCAAGTGCGGGATAAATAAAACCGCCTGGACGTTGGGTGAAGGTTGAGAACAACGAAGGGGAATGCATAATTGATTAAATCTGCGAATGATGTACAATAATATTATAAAATTTTGAATAATTAGAAAGCGCACGAACTTATGAAACAACCCAATATTTTACATCTCCCTCCCCGGCCCTTGTCTTACTTCATTACAGTTTGATAGTCTCAAACAGTGACGTCCACCGTCTGACCCAGGGCGTGGTGGGCGCAAGATTGTGATCTGGGTTTTACGTAGATGTTTTGGCAGATTTTGAATAATTCATATTGACCCAACTGTGAAAAACTCGGCGCCTCGGTGCGATTCGAACCCACGCAGAAAGGGGAAGGCTCTAGTACAGCCAACGCTCTAACCACTTGAGCTCCGAGGCCCCGTCGGACGACGCGAGTTTAATCATATTTGGGTCAAGTTACCCGCCCAACCTACTGCAACGTCTGGAATCCACCAAATATGATACAGTAATTTGACTGTCCAGGCAGGATTTCCTAAGTAATTCATTTGGAATCCACCAGATGACTACCAGGCTCACGTAATTGATCGATGTTTTGGCAGATTTTGAATAATTCATATTGACCCAGCTGTGAAACACTCGTCGCCTCGGCGGGGTTCGGACCCAATATGAATGAGCCTGGTGGATTGTAGGCTAGTTAAGTTGGAAATCCTGCTTGGGCAGTCAACTTACTGTATCCCATTTGCTGGATTCCAGGTGTTGCAGTAGGTTGGGAGGGGGGGCAAATTTGACCCCAATGTGATTAAACTCTCGTCGTCCGGCGGGGCTTCGTAGCTCAAGTGGTTAGAGCGTTAGCTGTACTGAAGCATTCCCCTTACTGCGTGGGTTCGAATCTCACCGAGGAGCCGAGTTTTTCACAGTTGTGCCAGTATGAATCTGAGTTTTAGTTTATAGGGCTAGAAGACTTTTGCGGCATCTACTTCGTCCTCTCCTAACTTACCCATTTACCTCCGCTGATGAGACAATATCAAAACTATCGGAGTTTAGCTGGGACGCAAAACTAAACAGCCTGTCCACACGTTTGGCACGCGGTTTGGTCGCCGGACCATTATCAGGTTCTTGTGAGGACTTCTCGGATCTCATTAAGGGCATACTGAGAAAGAGCCATTGTAGACCAAGTTTCAGTCCTGAGGGAAGGATTGAGTTATCCCGTCAGTCGGCCACTTTCGAAGCTACAGGTGATAGCGCGCCTGTACCAGATTCCTGCGCGTCAGAATAATTATAGTAAGAAATACGTTGATTTGCCGTTGGGGTGGATGCTCCAGTGACGGACACGCCTATTCTTCCTTCTCCTATGCATCAGTGGCTTGTCTGAGTCCGTCAGAAAAATGGTGATGGAACTAGGCACAGTGCCTGACGCAATCTGGAGTTCTACGTTTAGGGCGTACCACGGGTGCATAAGCTTGGGCCAAACCTGCGCGGGACGATTAACGTGTGCTGCGAGCCAATTTACTTCTGCTCTGGTCCGACGCATCTATAGCATAGCCCTCCGGCGTTTTTAGGGTCTAGAAAATATGCACTTCGCGTGCGAATCAATGTCAACAGGTTAACTAAGATAAAGGAGAGAAGAGTCTCTCGGTAACTGCTCTAATCCTGTGGATGAATCGTATTTACCTAGTCAAATCATGAGTAGAAACGTTTGGCCGACCTCCGGCTGGATGATAATGCGTTTAGATTGTTATGGCGGTATTTTTCACTCATTAACTGGCGGCTAGGCATGCGTGATTCATTTGTTCATTTGTCCTGGGTGCTAGGCGATGAGCGCCTTACAACACACCATGCTATAGATGCGCTGGATCAGAACAGAATTAAACTGGTTCGCGCAGAGTTCGCTGAAGCCCATTCGCACGTGGTACGCCTTAGAAATGAAAAGTTAGCCAAAAGTCAGAAATTTGTTTTCGATTTGGAGAGATTACTTAGGTGGCGTTATAATATTAACTATCAAGTGGCACTATCTCATGATATTTTAGACTAGCCAGGGTGTATGCTTTTGAGTGCATTTCTTTTTGACCTTCTGCGGAAACCACACTCAGTAAAAAAAGGCTGCTTAACTAGTATGCAATTTTCATGTAGATTTGCTATGTGCTTGTAAATGCAAATGTGGTTTATAGAAAGCACGCACAGAAATCCGCTTTGCTCCATTCAGTTGGCGGTGAATCCCGTCTTTCTTACATTTTGTGCTCGAATAAAGAGTGTATTTAGGTTTTAGAAAAGTTAACACTTATGAGATTTGTTAAGACCGTGCAAAGTCCATTCGTGCAGCATCGCACCTGTTCGTCTATTTTATAGAACTATGCAATTTCTGTTTAAGTATACAACATACGCCGCACCCATTGCAAAATTTTGTAAACTCTACATAGTACCTTCCTAAAGGCATCGATTTTCTCTACACAGAAAGTATACACTATGTGGACTGAAGTCGCCAAACGCTCACGTAACGACTGATCTGGCTCAAAATCATTCGAGAATCAGAAGACTTTTCCAAAACCTAAATATACTCTTTATTCGAGCACAAAATGCAAATAAGACGGCACTTACCACCAATTGAATAGAGGAAAGCGGATTACTGTGCGTGTTTTCTATACAATATTCTCAAATTTTCAATGACATCGCAAATCAACATGAAAAATGCATACTAGTTAAGTAATTATTTTTTATTAAGTGCGATTCTTACACGTGATCGAAAAGAGGTGAATTCAAAATCAAACACCCTGGCGAGTCTAAATGTCCTGAGATTGTGCTGTTCAATAATTACTATTATAACCCCACCTAAGCAATCCTTCCAAATCAAAAAAGAATTACAGAATTTCGGCTAACATTTCATTTCTTAGGCGTACCACGCGCGCATGGGCTTCAGCGACCTCTGCGCGGGCCAATTTTACGCGTGATGTGGGCCAATCTAATTTCGTTCTGGTCCAGCGCATCATATGGCATTATCTGCTGTAAGGCACCCATCGCCTAACACCAAAGACTAATGAACAAACGAATCACGCATGTTTAGACGTCAGTTAGTGGGTGAAGACTACCGCCATAACAATCTAAACGCACTATCATCACGCCGGAGGTCGACTAAACGTTTCTGTTCATGATTCGGTCGGGCAAATACGATTCATCAAGAGGAATAGAGCATTCGCTTCGAGTCTCTTTTACCCTTTATCTGAGTTAACGTGTTGACATTGGTTTGCGTGCGAATTAATCGGATGCATATTTCCTAGATCCTAAAAACGCCGGAAAGCTGCAGTTGTTCTAGCTGACCAAAAACTGTTTCACCGAGAGAGGAATCCGGGTATCTGAGTCAGCATTCTACTTTTAGAAACAGTCACATTTGACTGCGGCCTTTACCTTTTTGTGCGGACGGTCGAAAAACCTTAAGGGGCGTTACCCGAGGTCTTGAATTTTTCATTTAAATTTTTCTAAACGTTGCCTTCGCAGTAGCTGCTTTTGTTCGTCCCAGCCCCCCACCCCTTTCCGCCATCTTGTGTGCATTTCTCTCCATTAACCAACACCTTTGACCACTTCAGACGCCTGGCCACGCACCGGCCCACCGACCTCTGCTACGACGGAGAGTTTAGCCTTCCGACAGTGTCGGCCTCAACAGAGCGTGGCAACCTCGTCCACTTTGGCCGGAAACTCTTACCAGGCCTCAACCTTTCTGCAATCCACCGTTAGTCGTCGCGGGCACCTCTTTTTTTTCTTTCCTACTTTTTAATTACATACTCTACAGAGCTCCATAGGTGGGAATCAGCGGCTTACGCCTGCTGGGTTGAATTTAGATACTGTAATGTAAGACAAATGGGACCTTAAAACAAAAAGTGCTAAAGCCTGTTCTTTGCCCTCAGAGAAGTTGGTTGTTGGCGGGCAGGGTAGTTCAAATTAATGGAGTGAGGTAGAGAAGCCCTCTTGTATTCAAACGGAGTCCCACTGCAGCCACTTTCGTGCTTTAACTGTGGAACACCTGGGGCTCGATCCCGGCACGAGTGAGTTCCGTAAGAACGATCGGTGAGCACCCCATTACCATTTTACATTCCCGGTCGCTTCGCCAGGACAAAGAGCCCGTGGCTTATTGTTTAGTGGTGCTGGACTTCTAACAAACAGACCACCGGATTGAACCCCAGGTGTTCCACATTACGGGGTTGGGTATGACTGGCTGACGAGGGCTGATAAGCCAGAAGTGGTCATTCCAGTCTCCGTTGTCCTTGTCGATAATGCTACTCTGCGTATATATACACATTTCTTGGCAGAGAGTGTCCAGCGATCGCGTTATTTGACTCACTCGTCGCGTTGTGCGTTGAGGCTCCATCTACAGCCCCGCTAGTAGCCGCGCATCGACTATTAACATGTGAAATATAAGATTACCTACAAAAACAGGAGAGACTGGGATAACCACCAGCTAGTCATACACAACTCCAAAAGCTTACAACGCCTAGGCTTCAAATCCAGGTCCTCTTAGTTTGACTTCCAACGCCCTAACCATTGGACCACGAGCGGGTTGTTCTATCAGTTGCAGTGGAGCATATTAACAGTCGTAGAGAAGCGCCCAACTGCTGCATTAAACTTCTAATTAATAGAAACCGGATTCGAGTCCCAGGTGTTGCAAAAACCCGAGGTTGGATATAGGTGGCTGACAATGGCCTACGAATCGGAAACGGCCAGTCCGGTTCCTTGTCCTTTTTTAATTTTTGTTGTCTCATGCACCGGCGTATAAAATTGCTCCGGTACCCCTTTCATTTCCATCAAATAACTATCGCTGTCTAAATGGCATGTTTTGCCGGATCAAGTAGACTGGTGAAGGCACTCCGTTTGTAAGCAATAGGGTGTTTGCTCTTGGAATGCAGAACAGCGTCCGCATAAGTTTCTTTGCGGTAAATTGATGTGTGAAATTTTCCATCAATCATCCGCTGTACGTGGACGTCAAGGACCGAAGTATTTTTTGTTTTATCGCACGAAAAAAGAAAAACACCAAAGATTTTTAAAAAGGCCGGGAGCATTATCATTCTTCCGGCAGATAAATGAGGTTCAACTGCCATTTTGGACAAGGGAGACTACAATGATGCTCCCTCCGAGAAACCTTGATAATCATTTCTTGATTAAGTATTTACTCGTGACGAACAGTGGATAACATTTATCAATCAGACCAATGGCTTGATCATGTCAAGTAGGCGTGTGACCATCTCTGTTGTGGTTTGGATCTCACTCGATCCCATTCTGTCCGCCCGCCAGCTTGCTACTGGCAACAGCAAACGCTGTCATAGGACACACCCACTTGACATGCTTATCTACCTTACATCATAAGGCCTATGGCGTACTGATGATCGGTAATGACCGTGAAACAGCTGTCTGCGTCTGGCATGTTGCACTCTTAGAGAGCTGCCCATGCATTATAAATGGCTTGATCGGGATGAGGCATCCAAACATTTCCGATACCGAAGTTTAAACAACAGAAGATAACGGCAACCGTATGGTGGTATACTTTTATTGTTTTCCACCACAGCTTTCTCGAGGCTCATATAAACAGGGCAGCAGTTTACTGTAAGCAACTCAACGAAGTACATGTTCACTCGATAAAAAATGGACTTTTACTAATGAATCGCGTGGCCCAAATCTGTTTTACGACAATGAACAGCCAACTAGCCCGAGAATGACACTGCAGAAACTCAGCGACTTGGGATACGAGACTTTACCAAGTCCTGCGTATTCTCTCGATCTTTCAACCACTGATTATTATTTTTCAAGAACCTGGATACGTTTAAGCAGCGAAACCTTCAAGAACAACTTTGAGGTGGAATTTTGTCGGCAAGGCATGCATGATCATGTTCATCGACGGCAGAGATGCACAAGACGCCAGAGGCCATAGTTTAACTAGTCTTAGCATTCCTAGCGTTACGTTTTTCCATAATAACTTTTTGTTTCTGAAACCTCCCGGCACTTTCCAAACAACTTAATAACACAAATTATGCCATTTTAAATTCCGAAGCTTAATTTCGGTCATAAATCTTAATTAAAATAGTTGTATATTAAACCGCTGGAGAATAATTTAAGAGCTCTGTCCTTTCAGACAGCACCAACTTCAAATATACTGACTGGCAACCATGCAATCTGAAATTTTCGACGACTTCCTACCGTTCTCCCAGTCTGTCGGTGTTCATTAGTTGTTATGAAAAAACTAGGTTTAGTCGCCAAAGCGTTACGCTGGCCAATTCTCAAGTAAGAGTTCCAAGACCTGGTCTACAGTAACAATGCTCTTGCACTAGACATCGGTCTGATGACTTAAGTCGAGGAAGCAGCATTACACCTGATATGATGCCTTAAATTTTTCGTTCGGAATTTGCCCTGAGCGTACAAAACCAATTGCCTCTTACTACACAAACTAATACCAAAAGCATTTTAGAGAACTGGCTATTTACTTCCAAATTTTACATATTTCAGAGCTTTCTGGGTTAAATTGTACATCCGTACGTATTACAGATGGCGCTGCGATAAATTCAGGGCTTAAGGTCGAGTTCAAAAGGGCCATTAGTATTAGGGTTATGGTTAAGAGGTTTAACGTTAGGGTAAAGGTTAAAGCTGGGATACGGGAATAAGTACCACCGCTAGATGTCGCTGAAAACCATCTGTAGTATGTGGGAGGGGCACTCATACCCGTACCTAATTGTTTCATCCTTCCCACGGCGGCTAGACAGTTCCATTTGCAAAAGTTTCGCTTATGCGATTGTTTACCGAAATAATAACATAGGTATTTGTTAAAAGCCCAGACACGCGTATTTAGCCGATTTTGTGCCGCCGTCTGACGCAGCTGAGAGGGGTTCGGCTCATCAGTGCCTGCCCTCATCCCAATCCGTGTCTGAGCTTTCAGATGGTACCTGTGTTGTTAGTTGGAAAATACTTATACAATTCTCGACTACTGGCTGCCAGTTGGCGGTTTGTGAATATTACGCGATTATTCCGCAGTAGCTGATGGATTTCAGTTCACATACTCATATCAGATTTCGGACCGTGCCTGAAAAGGTCTCTTCCGAGGGATTTACTCCACGTTCGCGCATTTGTTTCCTTAGAAATTAAGCGACGCTACAATAATATTATTTAAAAGTAGGTTAAAAACAGTTTCGCTGGTATTTAGAAGTCGGAACACCGGAACTGTTTCTTGTTACTCGACCAGTATTCTTCTATGCTAATACATACACGGGGAATTCAAACTTGCCCAAAAATAACCTATTTTGCTCATTTTGGCGTAATTTAAGCCTTCGTCGTATGTTGCACCCCAAGAAACCGTTTCTTTTCGTTTTGAAAAACGTTTTTGAAGTCCCAGATTATTCAATGCCTGAACGTCCGTTTTACTTATGTTTGCAGTTTCGGAAGCATAAGCAGCGCACCTTAATTTTGGGGAAGATTAAACTTTCTTGTGTTTTTCGGAGAATCCTCATGTGTGACTCGCAATATTTTTTCATAGTTCTACACCGCGTTACATAAGCCATAATCCTCCAGCCTTCCCTGTGTGTTTTCTGGTATATGAACTCCAGTTTTATCTTCCCTGTTTAATTTCCGAGGAAACTAAAACGCGAACTTGGAGTAAAGCCTTCAGAACAGACCTTTTCAGGCATGGTCCGGAATTTGATATGAATATTTTCGCCGAAATCCGTCAGCTTAATATTCACAAACCGCCAACAAGCAGCCAGTAGTATAGAGTTGTGTAACTATTTACCGTACTGACAACGCAGGTACAAGCTAAACCTAAACTAATGTATTCACATCAAATTTCGGATCGTGCCTGAAGAGGTCTGCTCCGAAAAATTCACTCCAAGTTCGCGCATTAATTTTCTCTGAAATTAAACAAGGTAAAAGCACGTATTTAGTCAATTTATTTAATCGACACCTGTGATGTCATGACCAACTCTACCGCTCTTCTTTTACAGGCCAGATCATATGACTATTCACGTTTTCCCGTGAAACCTGGCGAGACGTCTCTGGAACCCCTCTACTCACGATCTCAGAGCCAACTTTATCGAGATTTTGAACGTGGTTATCTCAGTCAGACAGTGGCACACACCGGGGGAGAACACGGTGATCGGATTCGAGCGGGTCAGGCAGAGCCCTCAGCACCGAATGTCGTCAATGCCCTTGGGGGCAAGGTGCTACGTGCCTGTCATGTGGGTGTGGGAGACGGTATCGCTGTTGTTACTGCCTCCGCCCCGAAGGTTGTTGTGCGATCCCCGGCCTCTTCAGCGGCCGGCACGGGAAACTCCGTGCTACGGGCCCACACCGTCCAGTTAGGGGCTCCAGCCGGACCGAGTACTCACAGCTCTTCCGTTCTCGCTGGAGTTCATGTTCAACGCCATCGACCTTCCAGCGAGGTGAGATCATGGGATATGTGATAGGCCGTCAGATTTGGACTTTCTGATGCCTCTTCTGGTGTCTCTCTCTCTCCGTTTTCGGCCACTATGACGATATTTCCGTTGACTGATATGTTTGTTTGGCCATTTTTATCGCTAGATATCCGTTCTATGCACCAAATCCTGTAATATCGGGCGGGGTTTCCGGCTTGTGGCGTTTTGATGACATCCACGGAGATCTGCAAATTGCCGATCATATATAACCATTTTGCAGTCTTTTTGTCCCTTTGAATAAAATATCTAGAAAGCAGTCAGTAAGGAGTGTAAAAGCCCACATAAAGACATTTTGTATTCACCTTCCCGATCTAAACACATCGCCTAGTGTCAACCCTCTCCGCCTAGAAATGCCTTCTAAGCTTCGAAGGCTCGCCTGCTGTTTTCAATTCACGGCATAAAAACGCAGTGAGATTTTTGGTAGAATACTCATTCTCCTCAGGCAGATAACTGCTGGTCTTCTTCCGTTTTTAATGTTAACGAATTGGCAGACTGCGCTGGAAAGAGTCAGATCGACGTCTTTTACTTGGTGGGAGATGATGGAAGGAGGCAGATTTTCATAAGTTAGAAAATTTCGGTGTGACCGAGCAATTTGTCTCAAGACGTATTTCATGTTCGACGGAGCAGTCTGCCAGGAGATCTAAGACACAACTCTGGGTTAAGCGATTCCGAGATCCACAGAATAGGCGGTCCTGCAACGACTGAAGTCGGTGGCCTTCCGCAACCGTCGATCGAAATTTTCAACTCTGTGTGTAGCTGATATCTTCATCGTCCTGGAACGGGACCAGGTGCTGGCATTCCGAAAACGTCTCAATGCTGTTTTCCGGGACACTTAATTAACGACACAAAAGGAAGAAAAAACCCAGCTAGTCTTTCTTTGTGTTTTTGTCTGCCGCAAGGATTATGGTGACTTGAAGAACAATATGTTCAAGAAAGCGAAGCAGTATCTTGATTTTTAACGGTAACCGTCCAATCATTCGTAAAGGCAACTGCATTAGGACACTATACCAACTTGAGACGCATAGCAGTGAACCAGAAGACAGTGCTACTGAATTCTAATACATTATGTGGGTGCTCAGAGCAAATGACTACCCGCGCAGTCTTGTAAACAAGTGCAGGCGTATACGAGACGGGGGACCGGATCGCATTAGGTTCAAATTTCAGCGAGCGTTCTCGCATGTTAGGCACCTCGCACAAGTCGTCGGTCGCCTTCTTATACCACTTCGAGTCCGAGTTGCACAGAGACCAGGGACAGTTCTCAGGCGCCGATCAATTTGGCCAAAAGGGTCACTGCACGGATATAGAACGCATCTATTCGTTTACGGGATTTGCTGTGGAAGCAGGCAAAAAAAGTAAATCGGAGAAACTGGGGGATTACTCCGAATGCGAATGACCGATGACGCCGCAGCAGTAACGAGGAATGACGCCAGCTCTTAGGTCGCGGCTTATTCGACAGGGTTCATCCACATCGTCTGAGCCCAGATGTGATCGAATCGTAGTTCTCCGGTCTGCAGTCAAATAACAGGCACAATGACTTCCACCTTCATAAGCAGTGCATGAAACATTTCCGGAATAGAGTATTGACCATGCTAGCGCGCGTTTATGAACGACGTTTCCCCTGATTGTATCAGATAGTTAAGTGGACGAGTATTTATCCCGCCACTAATCAACACCACCGAAAATCCAAAAATGACGGACTCGAGTGTAGACGACCAACAATCGCTACCACCAGCGGTGAATGTGGATGCTGATGATTGTAATAAGTACGGTATGCGTCGGCATAACAACTGCTTACTGCAATTTCTGCTCCCCGGATGCGTCCAATAACGCACCGTCTCTGTTAATAAATCGGAGTTCGAACTCCAACGTCAGGCGAATAGACGTCCCGCATCGACTCATTCTTCTTCAGCTCAAACAGTTGTCCGTTTGCCTGCTTATAGCCAATAAAATTGCAATTTATACCGATCTAACTGGTCTCATATATGTTCTGTACTGTGCACTGAGTCCTGTTGCCGAAGAAGGTAGGCTTTAAATATGCGTTTTTTAGGCAGATGATTTCCAATGGGCGATGGCTCAGTAGGGCTTAGTATCAGGTATAATCTTCCCACATCGAGATATGCTGGGCTTTCCACGTAGCACTTATTCATTCACTTGCTCACACTTGCCCATTGATTTCTAGGTGACCTATACAGTCATTCTTTCTTTCTACTGTTTTCATTTTGGTTTTTTGAACAAATTTAATCTATTATATATTAGGTAGTTCTTATGTACGCTGTAAAACGACAGAAAACAGAAAACGGCCAGTCCCAAAATATATAGGTGTCATTAATTCCTGTTGTATGTTCTTTTCGGGCAGATGAGTCGCAAAAAAATAGACAGATTAAAACCTTGTTTAAAATATGCCACAAGTAAGCTTTCGCCCGAGATTGAATGAATATGTAGCTCATGTTGTCCTATACTTCTTTCTGAGTTCGAAGTTTTTTCAATTACCTTCGAAGGTCGATCCTGCGCCCTGCACTGGATTTGTGTCCGGCGAGACTAGCAAGTATCAACAACGAACTGCTGAATACTCCCCCTCCGTCTATACGCAAGGCAAAGTTCTGAATTCCACTCTCCGTCGGAAGATTTAATTACGTCGTTGATTTCCTTCATATCACGTTACTGCCCGACCGGTCCGCCACGCCCCCCCCACACTGTGTTCCTCCAGTTTATATTCGTTTTATTTATTACTACTTATAACCTTGAGGATGAACACTCCCACTCCACCTGCTCTGAATATTTTGTTCAGAAGCAGATATCATGTTATCTTTTCAGGGCCTGACTGCGTTTTGCAGAAGAATTGGGGTCTCACTAATCTATGAAGGTTTTGACAATTCGTTATTTACCTGTTAATAAAATGACCACTTTGCACGACAGATGGCTTTTTTTATATTCATGCATTTTGACATCATCTAAGCGCAGATTCAGCCGATATTCTGAGTGGTTTTTTTACCAAACACTGGCACATCGGCCGCATAATTTTTGCACGTAAAAGGAGTGCCGGCATAGGAGAAAAAATGATTCGGAGTATTTTATTTTTTCCCACCGGTCCTATTTTTAATGCGGAATATTAACTTATCTCTTGGGAGTTATTTACTTGAAGTGGCATAATACACACCTTAACACAAAAGCACTTGTTAAAGTTGCTTCATAGCTACGATAAGTTCATTGGTTTCTTATGACCAACATTTGACAAGCTTGCCTACGTTTTCATTAAATTCTCCATGGGCCGCCATTCTTGCATCCCATTGGACAGAATGTTGTGGATAGGCAGGATCCAAGAGAGTCAGGAATCAAGAAGAAAATCAGGGGAACTGGTTGTGTGGAAGGAGTGGGTAGTTTTGAGGGCGAGGACTGCCCTTGATTCATGAGAACCGACTGAAAAGCTACTGGTTCTCCCAAAAGTCTATTCTTAGTTTTCAGAGGTCCTACAGTATTTTTTAAATAGTAGACTCCAGTTAACCGGAGATGCAGTACTGATAAGAACAGAAATGTTTTCAGTTTGTGCCCGAAACCATTAAATTCTTAGTCTCAAGACAACCCAGAATACTGTTCATTCTGCTGGCAAGGGTCGGTACTGAGTATGAAGTATTTTCTCCCTTTCGATGTCTGCAGAGCTCAATGCCTCCAGATCATAGGGAAAATTAGTCCGGAACTGACATTTCTTCCCCGTTAGCAATGTCTATGATTGAAGCATATGCAGACCCTTGAGCTCAGCTAAAAGGCATGGTACTTTAAATATTAAGTTCACCCCGAGGGGGCATTCCCACATATAAATTGTGTGGAATTTTCCATGAAAATTAAATTGCTCCGTAAGTTGACGTGGAAAATCTGCCGATATTTATCAATGCCCCTGAGAGTAAAAGATCTTTAAGTTTGTAGGTGAGTCCATATGAACAAGTTCTCTCCTAACAGATACCGAGCTGCTCGATAAACTGACCTGCAAAGCAATCGTAGCATGTTCAATTTTTCTTTATGTTTTTTATTAAAAAATAGCCAACTTATAATAAATATCCAGGAGCAGTTGAAGTGTAGGCCGTGGTTAAGTGGTGCTATTTATTGTGTAGTAGAATTATACTTCTGGGATACCTTTCGGCAAAAAGGTTTAACTCCTAGGAGTAGCAGTAAGTAGTGTCGTTTTTTAATTAGTGACAAGGAATGTGTTTACTGGAAAACTTTTTACTTTCTAATCTGTTATATAACCACAACTATTAAAAATCGCATTTGCCCATCTCGAAATTAAATTTTCAGTAGCATCTTTATAGTAGAAATTTGTTGTGGTGCAAAGAATTCCGAAAGCCCAATTCCGAGATCGCCGGCATTTCGGAAAATGTTTCTGTCCAGGAAGTGCTGTCCATATCTGAACAAATGAAAACCAGCCAACACACAATCCGATGAATAAGGTGAATGTGGCAGTCCCCTCCCCCCTTCCGGAATATCGATCTTGGTCCCGGTCTGTCGGTCCAAACGCAGACTCGTGTTGCCATACAGCAGAATGACACCTTTCCTACTGATCAGCGCTGGTTGTTTAACGGCAAGACCCCGCTTCTGTTGTTGCAGTCTGAGCTTGTTTCGGTAGCTAAAAGGGAAATATGTCGACCATGTTCTACAAGACATATTACAAAACGTTTTGGGTTAAGGGACTTGATTTCGGCGTAGGAACTAGTGTCTTACCTGTGGAAAACCATTGGTATTCGCTTTTCTTAATGGAAGGGATCTATCTTTCATCTTTAGTGACAATTCGATAAAAGAAAGCAGGTTCCTCTTCTGTGTGCTTAGTAAATTTGCAAATTGTAGGACATTGGGTCCTGTTCTCTATCGAAAGGTGGTGTAGAACCCAGACTCCTTGTCTACTGACCCTTTATATCTGCTGAAGGCGCTCCTAACCAGTAGACCATGAAGAATATAGTCTTCCTCGTAATTAGTCGATGGTCTGACGAGGATCTGCCTCAAAATCTGTTCTCGAAAGGTCAGTACTCAACTTCACTGGTCTTCCCCGACGATGGGTGCTGGGGTGATAGAGTTTGCCCGATCGGAATTTCGGAAATCCAAAGCTGGCATTTGCGGACATCTAACGCATTCTGATAAACACCACAACTTGATTTGGTGGCTGTTGTTGCGTTGTCTTTCTTGCAAACGTAATACAGCATACAATGATAAATACGAATGGCTTCGGGCTCAACTGATTTTCAAACACACCTGGTCCAAATGAAGAAGGTATATAAACTTAGTAGATGGCATTCTAATTAAGACCACAAAACGGCATCGTTCGCTGGTACCCCTAATATCTCGTTTTTCCTGTAGCAATGTTTAATTCACATCACTACCGTGGCACCACTTAAGTGCCTCATTCTTTCAATATTTTTGAATTTGTTTGGTGAACTTTGGTACGCCTGGGAGATGGAAGTGAAACCGTTATATTAAAGCCTTGAAATTTCATACTGAAAGCATGGAAATCATCAAGCTAAAATTTGAATATAGTAATGCCGTC